TTTATCTTCACCTTTCTTCTCTGTGTCAGACAGAAGCTTTACAAAACGATTTAGCACTCTGTGAAGAATAACAAAGTGTAAATTGATAATTGCCACAGAAATTTATTTTCAAAATTTCCTTACTTTTCCATAATAAAAAAAGTATCATCTTGCAGACTGATTATTTTCAGGTAAGTGATGTTAAATTCTTTAATTTTTCTATACAGTTCTTAACATTTATTGTTCAGTATTCCTCAGTCTCTATATAGAGACTTTCAACCAAGAGATCCAAGGTAGAATTTTGGCCTCAAACTCAAGTTAAATGCTTCCTAACATGCCTATTGCCTGGGACTTACTTATCTCAAAAGCAATAATTAAACCCCTTAACTCCAAAGATGCAATAAGCAGTTAATGATTCTGACCATTTCACTTTTCATTGTAACTTAGTCAACAGGATAATGTGCTCTTGCAAGAAAATAACCACCTACTGTTACTGATACTTTCCTCAACTCTCATTTCTTATTTACTGGATAATAGTGATATAGTAAGGAGAAGTTCTGTTGCAATCATTTCGGTCAGTTTTAGGGTAAATACTTAATAATAAAGCTTACATCAAAAGGAACAGGGAAAATCCAGAAATGTACAGATTACGCTGTGCATGAAACAAGTTCATCTTAGCTGTCACTTCAGCCTGAGGATTGTTGCGCAAGTCCCCTGGAGAAGAAGACACCAGCTTGTTGTACTTGATGATTTGACGAATTGAATCTAAAAAATAGTAAATTCATGAAAATGCAAGACTACTTATTATGGTTTCGATACTTTTTTTTAGTTAATGGTTTCTGTCAGCTGTCTATTACACAGAGGTTAAGAAATAACATTTAACATTAAGTTTGATAAATAAAATCAAAAACTAGTAAAATTAGTTTTCATATTCTCCACACTGTTCTCCTTAATTTTCCTGTGGTACCAACAAGGAGAATTTGTTTAACAATCTGGAGCTTCTTAAACTGGAGATCATTTCCTTTATTCTCATGACCTTTATATTTGATTCAAGGGTGATACTGTAAGGAGAAATTAGATGCCAATCACTCTTAAGGGTTAAGGGAACAAGGGAAACATTCCCTGAATATCTCATAGCTTTCACATTTTAAGAGAGGCATGCTAAAGAATACCAGCCAGCCATGATTAGAGTAAATTCAGTTTAATTACAAAGCCTATGTTCTATTTGGTTAGAAGGGATTCCATCTCAAAGGGCAAGAGAGTCCTGTAGCCACTTGAGACTTAGATCAATGTCTACACTTCAGTCTCAATATCACATAACAAAAAATTTCTTCACAATAGCAACTCGTAGGAAAATTTGGATTAGAAATAGAGAGTAACACGATGGTTTTTCTGATACTTTATTGATAATAGTGATGAGTATGGTTGAACAACTGAATCCCAAATCAACTGGAAATATTGGCCATTTTGAGGTTGTGCCTGAGACTGGCTCAGTTTTGTTTCAAACTGCACTATGGGGCTGTTTTGGGGGATGCAATTTGAGTATGGTGTCTTTTGAGGATGTAAACCCTACTATCCCCTACGGTCACTTTCAATGACAGACATAAAGGAAAAGGCACTCAGATCCAGCAAGAGATTATATAACTCTGTCAAGGAAAGAAATGTAATTGCTGAAGAAACAAAAGGTCAAAATGAAACAAGAACATGGTTTGATGTATGGAAACCACCCATAACAAGCTTGACAGTGCAAGAGATGTTTGTGAAAGCCAACAACAAGCCCAACTAAAGCTGTTTCAGGAGTGCTTTTTTATACTAAGCAAGTACAAACTAACGCCATGTGAGATGGTATTGAATCAGAATCAAGTATCATCCAAACATTTGAAAATGAGACTGGCCAGAAGGTACACAAGTCAGGTTTTTTTGTATCTGAGACATCCATTTTAAGGTGCGTCTCCTGACGGAGTCAAGAATGACAGCCAGATTGTCGAAGTCAAGAGGATTGGATTGAAGGAAGGAGAGTCTCTTGATGATGGAATATGCGGGCTTGGAATTTACAAGAAAAATGGTTTTGTGCTTGTTTCATCGACGGCTTCCCTCAGCGATTCAATCTCTTGTTTAATAGAAGCGATTTCATCTTTAAGATCTTTTGATTCGTTGAGACCTTCCACTTAACAAGCTTGGCCTTCAGTATAAACTTCAGTTTGGGAAGCTTGGTCTCTCTGAATTGTATTGGCAGTGTTTACATCAATCCGGGTTCTCACATTCGTTGCTATCGACTATCGAGTCTTTGTGTCGAGGTTGTGAGCACTTGTTTTCACCTTTCGGCGGCAGTCGCGATTTCTGTATAATACAGCGCTTCTTTGGGATGATATTCCTGGGAAATATTGAAGGAAGTTAATTTCTACTCATCCTCACTCCTCTTGGAAAATGCGCTCCACGAATCCTTGTGCTTAGTGCGTTTTTCTACAAGGTTACATTTCGTATCAGTTGTACGTACGCCTTTTTTTACTTAGGGATCGCTTGGTAAAGTGTGAAATTCATATTTGGTGAGTTTCTCCAGTTGTTGGTGCATCCTGGAACACAACAGCTAAATGTACCCAGTTTCGAAGAGATCGATGTTCACGCAAGCTTCATTTTCTCAAAGTACAGCATTTCTCAAAACAGTCCGATAATGCACTTCGAAGCGAAACCGACCCAGTCTCATGCGCAACCTCGTGGCCAGTAGGTTGGGTGATGGTTTACAAAATGACTCGACATCGATATAAACTTATACGTTAAAGGCAAGATTAGCTTGGAAGATTTCCAAAAAACATGTGACTCAGAAATAAAAAGTGACTTTCTTTTTTTCGGCTTCTCTCTATTTGGTTCTTCTCGATCAAGGAAAGCTAATGAACAATTCCTCTTTCACTTTGGGCACAACCCGGAAGCATGACGGAAACACATAATGTGTGATGAAAAATGCAGACTTTGGCATGGAACTACGTAAAATTAACTTTTGATAGCATAGTTATCTATTACAGGCTTAGCTTGTTCAATACAGACGGTAGAGTGTAGTATGGATCGTTAAAAAGCTTTCTAGTTTTGTAAATGCACCATAAAGATAACACGAGTCATTTGAACGTCTAAATGCAAGTATTACCTGCTAACAGTAGAACCATCGCCAACACAACGACTTTGAAGTAGTAACTTCCACTACTAAACCAAGCAGCCACGATCCTGGATTTAAAAATTTGATTCCATCTAAATACAAAATGCAAAAGTGTTAATCATTCATTGCAATGATCAACACCAAGGTGAAAGTTCTGCACCAATGTTATTTTCCATGCGACGCTCGATCGACTGGGCTGCAAGTTGTTAGATTCTACCTATTCAAAAAGCTTACCTTTCGGTAGAAATATAAGGAAAACAGAACAACAAAAGAACAATGATCTCGGCGTACAGAAATAAGGCAGCGAGAGCCCATTGGACGGTCATTTTTTGTAGCCGATATGTCTTTTAAACTCTTCTAACCTCCTCTCAGCGTTTTATTGATGAATGTTTAATGAATGTAAGTGATGAATGTGTGGTCAGACTTTTGACGTAGCCGAGCCTTCTAGACTTGGTAGCCTAGCAATGTAGGATATCCGATCTATTCCGATCAACTCCGATCCAATGATGAACACGTCCAATTTTAGGTCTCATCTTTGACAAGTTGTCACAGGCACATCAGAACTTTCCTGATTGTTATGTGTACAAAAAACTCATCATATATTTATAGTTTTTTTCCGTCTGTTATCCTTTGGATAGTTATGGGGTGAAGCTGATGGAATAGTCCTTTTTCGTATTTGTGATTGTGGCCATATGCAAACACAAAGAATACATTAATACCGGTGAAGTCTCGGCTTTAAGTCAAATATTCTCAAACACTAGCAATCGAACTCGGCTTCAGTTTTTCAAGTGAAATACACGTGACTATCCTTTTATCAAGTTTTCTTCGTTTTAGCTTCAGTGATTCGTTTGTTTGTTTTATTTTCCTTTCCACTATCAGCCTTCGAGGAGTATGGTGTGAGATTCAAATAATGTAGTAAAATTATGCTGTTGCTTTATCCTTATCACAGTGAATCAGAAATAAGGTCTATCTCAGAACCACCTAAGCAAGACTTGGCAAAG